ATTTGGGCCATTCTCTGAACATGGGCACTTTGTGTCTCACAGGTTTACCCCAAAGATGTTCATTTAACGTAAACATTTATTTAAGAAAAAATGAAAATTCTTATAGAAACACACAGATATTTAGTATTTTAAACATTTTTAAAACTGTTTTCAAAACTTTTCTAGGTTGTGGAGGCGTAGAGGTCAACCACATAACCATGTTCTTACTGACTATTGTTATTTTATCACTGAATATAAAACTAATAAAAGTAGCAAGTCGCCACTACTTGTCTCTATGAATATGAATCATGAAAGTTATACTGGCTGTTCATCGTCTCATCTAAACTGACATGTACTCACAGCTTTGACTGAGTATTAACCAAAAAGCTATTTTCAAAAGAGAAAAATGGGTGCTGTGACTAAAAGACAAACAGTCCACCTCTGTTAGAATTTCTTATGAGCAACAGCAAGTTGTTCCTTTCCTCCTAAATAATCTCTGGTTAGTCAGCCTAAACATTTCATGACTACATGCTCTGTGTGATGTCATTGTGGCCTTTGTGTTACCATAGTGATGTCACTGCCAGCAGTTTCAGCAACATTCAACATTCCAGCCATATTCAGCTCCAAAACACTTTGACAAGCTTGCTGTGACGCAGAGTGAAACCGGAGCTGATGTGACCACAGTAAAGAGTACTGACCACTACACCATCACAGCCTCTGGTCAGTTATGTTGTGTCTGGAGTTAAGAGGCTGCTAAAGGCAGTTTTGGGAAAACTGGAACATCTGATGGACAGAAAGATTTTCTGTTTGAATCCAGCAGCTAAGTGAACACAGGAGGAGGAAAATGTGAATGTAATTATGAAGCGTATTGTTTTGCAAAACTCATGCAAAAAATTAGGCCAGTTCAGAATAGCTGAAACAGGACATATCCAATATAGAAGGTAAATTTACTGCCCCTCTGGTGAAACTCTAACTCAGGGGTCACCAACCTTTTTTAAAATGAGAGATACTTCATGGGTACTGAGTCATACAAAGAGCTACAAGTTTGATAAACCTCTGAAATAACAAATCTGCTCAGTTTGCCTCTTAATGATATATTGTTAATGATTGATGATACTCAGCTCTTTAAATATAACATGTTCATAATTTCCCACAATTATCAGCAAAGACAAAAGGGTGGGGAACAGATAAGAACTTTGTTCTAGTTATTATTACTATTTATCTATTTTCTGTGTGTGTGTGCATGGGTCTGATTGGAGTTTATACACAGAGTAAGAAGAATTGTGTTATAAAGACAAAAACATTCCCTGACCGGGAGTCGAACCCAGGCCATGGTGGTGAAAGCACCAAATCCTAGCCATTAGACCATCACGGAGACTTTGTCCTAGAAAGATGTTAATCAGTGTTTATGTTTATGTGATTTGAGAGAAGGAGGTTTAAAGCTTGTAGAGATTATCACCAATAAACAAACTTTCTGCTTTAGAGCTTTATGCAGACAGGACAATAAACCTGTTTTTCAGTACTGTCATGATGCTTTGGAGCGGTCAGTACCAGAAAGAGTGAAACAGAGAAAACACAGTGAAAATTCTAATACAAAAATATATAGTCAACAGCCAATTATAACAGTTCATCAATCCATAATAAGAACAATGGCAATAAAGTTATTTGGTGTGGTGCTTTGTCTTTTTATCCACTTTTGCTCAAGATTCACTGACCAAAGTTTTGCCTGTGTTAGGATATTGAACTGAGAGGATTCATCTGATAGAATATGAATCATCTGTTCGACTCCAGTCCTATTTTCTTTTGATGATGATTTTATTGGTCAAACATTAGACCAGTTTATATGAGAGCCTTTCAGTTGTGTGTATGAAAGGTTGAGCTTTTCACCAGTTTACATGAATAGTTCTCACTACTTTAAGTAGGTTATAAAAGAGGTACATTTTTTCAATAGTTTATGTGAGAGCTTTTCACTAGTGTTTGTTTAATTTAATACCTACCTCAATGGTCACGTGACGTGAGAGGAGGGTTTATTTTAAAGTAACGGCGGCCATCTTTTCTAGCGCATCATAACAGAACGAGAAAAAAAGGTACGGAAACTTTACTAATACACATGAAAACACTACCCTAAAAAAAAAAAACGATAAACAATTTAATATTCCGTCCTGTCAGCATGATAGTTAACTTTTATTTAAACTTTCTAACGTGCTAGCGCTGTGTGACAGTGGTGGGCATATACCTAATATGACAGAATCACGCCAATAATAAATAATTAATTATTTGTTTATTTGCCGTATAAACTTTGCTCACTCTTTGTCTGTTTGTCTGTATACACACATACCTTAGCTCCATGTTGACCGTTTTATATTTAATGTTTGCAGATGACTAAGACAGGTAAGCCAGACAGCTACTGGAGGGACATCTGATATAAATATAACCCCACAAGGATGTTCCATCTAATTTTTCCTTTGGTCTGGAGCGTAAGAATGGACAAAAAAAGTGCATTCACAGTTTTAAGGACAACACTGGGCAGATGCTGATTGATCACACAGCAATTTGTAAACACGCTGTCACTTTTTAGAGCAACCTGTTTAAATGTGAGCACAGAGAGGAGCAGGAAGTGTCCCAGAGCTTATACACTGGTCTTCTTCAGGTGGAGCAGCAGAGCATCATAGAGCTGGAAGCAGCTCTGTCCTCTGAAGAACTCTATGCAGCTCTGCAGAGCATGCAGAGTGGGAAAGCTCCTGGTATAGACGGTCTACCTGTGGACTTCTACAAGTCTCTGGTCAGTAATGGGGGAGGATCTGCTGGCAGGACTGAGGGACAGTCCTGCAGCTCAGTGGCAGACACCCTCCAGCAAAGGGGTCGTTCTTACTTTGCTGCCCAAGACAGCTGACCTGCAGTTTATTAAAAACTGGAGACCTGATCCACTTCAGCAGCAGGGGGGGCTGCTTTCCATTTCCAGAGGATAGTGCAAGCCAACGGCCTCCACTCTAAATCAGTAGGACCACACAGAAACCTGAGTCAGTTAGGTGGACTTGGACTGAAAAAATCTTTGTGTCTGATGGACTTGAACAGTCCATGATAGAAAACAGGAAGTGCTTAGATGTCAGGCTGCTTTAAGGGGTGGAGTTTGCTGATGAAGAAGAGGCTGGAACACCACAGTTCGCTGTGCTGGCTGCTTCAGGAACCAGTCATCTATGGGTCGCGGTTCAGTGCAGTGTGTCAGGTGGGGCCAACTCTACTGAGGCGGTTCTGTCTCTCTAATGTGGTGACTCTGGGACATGTAGTCCAGCTTGCAGGAGCAGGCTTGGACGATGCAGCAAAAATGCTGCAAAATGAGATCTCTTCTGAGGTTTCTTTTAAAGATATAAACAGTAAGGTAATGTACAAAACTTTTGTTAAGATTTTTCAAAGGGACAAATTGAATGGCAGATAGCTAAAATTGAGCTGATAGCTCACTTAGGTCTTAGTGACAGTGTTGGGCCTGAGTGGAGAGCGCTGTACAAACCACCATTGATCAAACCTGCAGCTTACCTGCAGTGGAGGATTTTACATGGGTTTGTGGCTGTGAATGCTTTTATTTCTATAAATAACTCTGATGTTAGCCAGGCTTGTCCATTTTGCAATAATCACGAGACGGTGTTTCATTGTTTCTTGGAGTGTTCTCGTTTGCTGCCACTGTTAGAACAGTTTTTCGGATTATTTCGAGAGGTTTTTTCTAAACACATGTTCATTTTGGGGTACAGGTACTCTAAAAAGACCAACATTAAATGCCAGCTTTTTCATTTTCATTCTGGGAAGAGCAAAGATGGCTATTTACATGAGCAGAAAAAACAGAATAGAAAAAGCTGTGGATGATAATGTGGTGATCACGTTTATAGAGATTGGTGAAAGCCCGTTTAAAAAATACATTTTGATTACTATCGGATGATGAAGGACCTGGACAGCTTTTCCAGAATTCAAGAACTTTTTTTGGAAGTGTGCTAGGTTAATTTGTTTTTTTATAAATTCTGTTTTACTGATTTCCGTTAGTGGCTGAAAGTTTGCGAGTAATTTCAAACTTCCTTTGTTTTCCCTTCTAAGTGTTTATTGTATGATTGTTTGATCATTGTTTTCGTTTTTTGTCACTCTAAGTTGTTGTGTGTTTGGGTGCTTGTGGGGCCGGTACGCCGTGTTTCTAGACGGGGATGGCGTCCTCGGAGGCGCCGTCCCTGTCTCTGAAGCTTGGGGTGAGGGTGGTGCCCCAGCCCAGCACCATGGTGGAGCAGGTGCTGCTGGCGGTAGGTGAACAGGTGAGGCACGAAAACATCGTGTGTGCCTCACGGATGAATAAAGCGGTGGTAGTGTTTTTGAAGAACTTGGAGTTAGTCAGTCAACTCATAGAGAGCGGACTGATCCTGGAGAATGAGTTCGTTCCGGTTTCCCCTCTGGCGATCCCTTCGGTCCGGATCACCGTCTCTGGCGTCCCCCCGTTTATTCCCAACGAGGCTCTGGAAGCGGAGCTCAAGCGTTTCGGGAAGTGGGCGGGCGGGTTCCGGGTGGTGAGTCTGGGCTGAAGGGACGCTAAGCTGAGACATGTTCAGTCGCTGCGTAGGCAGGTGTTCATGTTTTTGGACTCTCCAGCGCAGACACTGGACGTGTCGTTCCGTGTGAAGCATGAACTAGGACACTACATGGTGTATGCCAGCTCCGGGAACATGAAGTGTTTCGAATGTGGAGATGTGAGCCACAAGCGGATGGCGTGTCCCCACAGACAGCGCGCTGCGGGGCCCTCGGCGGAGCTGGCAGCGGCCGCTGCTGCTGCGGTCGACAGCGGGGAAGGGAGCAGCAAACAGCGAACACTGCCCGACGCTGCTCCACGTGACGACACTGGGACGGATGGCTCCGTGATCGGGGCTGACGGTGGTGACAGTGGCTCCGTGATCGGGGCCGACGGTGACAGTGGTTCCGTGGCCAGGGCTGATGGAGGTGAGAGTGCTGTTAGTGGCTCAGTGGTTGGGGCTAATGGTGCTGTTAGTGAATTAGTGGTTGGGGCTGATGGTGGTGGTGATAGTGGCCCCGTAGCTGGGACTGAGGGTAATGTGGGTGAGGAAGAGGCGGTGGTCAGGACAGGGCAGAGGGTGGATGACCTGGGGAGGCCAGAGCAGGCTGCAGAGAGTGCTGCTGGGCGGGATGTGGAGCTGCTGCAGGTCAGCCCTGACAGTGAGCCGGATGACTCGTCTGCTCGTGGCCATGGCGACATGGATGGGGACTCTGACTCCCCGCTCGATGTGCTGGACAGCAAAAAACGCTATCGGCTGAAGAAGCATGTTACAGGTCTGAAGAAGACTCTCAAAACAACGAAGAATAAAATGTCAAAGAAAATGAAACTTTCGAATTAAAGCAAAATGATTGTACAACACCGGGTGTTTCAACTCTGTTGGTTTTCCCTACTGGTCTGTCTCTCTTCTTTCTTCATGAAGGGTCTAAGAGTGGCATCGTTAAATATAAATGGGGGTAGAGATGTAAAAAAGAGAACTATCATATCAGACATAATCGCACAGAAAAGGTTGGATGTAGTTTTTTTACAGGAGACACATACTGATGGAACAAATTCAATAGATTGGGACTTATGGTGGGGAGGGCAGCAGGTCCTTAGCCATGGGACCAATCTAAGCGCAGGAGTCGCCATTTTGTTTTCTGCTAAGCTGAAAGTCACTGTGACATCCAGCACGGAGGTGGTGAAGGGCAGAGTCCTTATGGTGAGAGCTGAAGTAGAGGGCTTCAGCTTCGTTTTCATTAATGTATATGCACCATCCCAAGGCTCTGAACGAGAAAAAACTTTTAAAAAACTGAGAGAAACACAAAATAATATTGGTACAGGAGAGTTTATTGTTTTGGGTGGGGACTGGAACTGCTGCACAGATTTCACATTGGATAGGACTGGAGAGGAGCCACATATTTCCTCCTCCTCTGTCCTGTCTAATGTTTCGAAACAGATGGACTTGGTTGATGTCTGGAGGATGAAACACCCCTCGCATAGACAATACACCTGGATCAAGATGTCAGATACAAGAGTAAGTGCAGCTAGGCTGGACAGGTTCTATCTGCCTGCTTCCTTTACTGCAGGAGTTTTTAGCTGCCAGATCCTCCTAGTGGGCTTTACAGACCATCACTTAGTTGTGATGGAGCTAGTGCTCTCTCCCACTGGAAGACCAAGAACTTTGTGGCGTTTTAATGTTAAATTATTAAATGATCTTGTTTTCTGTGAAAATTTTAAATATTTCTGGGACTATTGAAGAGCCCAGAAAGGTGACTTTCTCTCCCTGGCTCAGTGGTGGGAGGTGGGGAAGGCCCAGACCAGGGTGTTTTGCCAGGATTACACAAAAAGGGTCACAACGGGCATAAAGACAACAGTGCAGGGCCTAGAGGGCCAAATCAGAGACTTGGAAAATGCCCTACAGGGAGATCTGCAAAATGACTTACTGAGGTCCAAAAAACTAAACTCTTTCCTTCAGGAGAGAGCCACAGGGGCTCTTGTCCGAGCACGCTTCACCAGGCTGCAGGACATTGATGCACCTACCACCTTCTTTTTTAACCTGGAGAAGTCTGTCGCGTCAAGAAAACAGATGGTGTGTCTCCGCCTCCCCGATGGGAAGGTCACCGCAGACCCGGCAGAGATGAGGAGGCATGCAGTCAACTTTTATACTGACTTGTTCAGAGCGGACGGCTGTGATGTGGCTGCTGCTGAGAAACTTCATCAGGGACTTCCTCAGCTGACTCCAGGAGATCGAGAGGCGCTGGGTATGGATGTAACTCTTGATGAACTGTCTGCGGCGGTGTCTCAGATGGCACCAGGCAAGGCTCCAGGAATAGATGGTCTACCATCTGACTTTTTTAAACAACCTTCTGGACGTTTTTAAAGAGTGTTTTATGAAAGAGATGCTTCCAGCATCCTGCAGGTGTGCAGTTATTTCACTGCTGCCCAAGAAGGGAGATCTAGCCCTTTTAAAAAACTGGAGGCCAGTGGCCCTGTTGCGCACTGATTATAAAATCCTCTCCAAAGTCTTGTCCAATAGGCTGAGAATGGTTATCGACCTTTTAATTGGTGCTGACCAGTCATACTGTGTACCGGATAGGTCAATGTTTGACAATTTGTTTTTATTGAGGGATGTATTTGACATCAGCAAAATTTATGACATCAAGGTCGGTATCCTATCCATTGACCAGGAGAAGGCTTTTGACCGTGTGGACCATGGTTTTCTTTTTTCCACGCTACAGGCCTTTGGTGTTGGAGAGGGTTTTCTGTCATGGACGAGACTACTGTACCGAGACGCTTCTTGTGTGGTAAAGGTGGGAGGTGGGTTGAGTGCTCCAGTGCCAGTCAGGAGAGGGATCAGACAGGGATGCCCCATCTCGGGCAAACTGTACAGCATGGCCATTGAGCCTCTCCTTTGTCGGCTGAGGAGCAGACTGAGAGGTCTCTCCCTGCCGGAGCTGGCTCAGATGCCTCCTGTGGTCGTATCAGCATATGCTGACGATGTGAATGTTTTCATTTGTGATCAGGGAGATGTTCAGGAGTTGGAGGTAAGTTTGGCCCTGTAAGGGAAGGCTTCCTCTGCTAAGGTAAACTGGGGAAAGAGTGCAGCCTGCTTAGTGGGAGAGTGGTGCGTGGGGAGTGCTCCCGTTTTACCTGGGGACCTTAGGTGGGGTACACGGGGTCAGAAAAGCTTGGAATTTTTTTAGGGACAGAGGATTTTCAGAGGCAGAACTGGGAGGGAGTGCTGGAAAAGATGGAAGCCAAGTTGTATAAATGGAAATGGTTGCTACCTCACCTGTCCTATAGGGGGAGAGCTCTGATTGTAAACAACCTGGTCGCATCATCTCTGTGGCACAAGCTCATCGTGCTGGTGCCACCAACAGGCTTCCTGAAGGATGTACAGCGGCTTCTTGTGAACTTTTTCTGGTCTGGTCAACACTGGCTGAGGGCGGCGGTCCTGTATCTCCCTGTGGCAGAGGGAGGGCAAGGACTTGTGGACATTCTGTCCCGAACGGCGGCCTTCAGACTGCAGACTGCACAGAGGCTGTTATATGGATGCAGTCGCTGCTGGTTAGCTCCTGCTCGGCTGCTGCTCAGGAACGCTGGCCGGCTTGGGCTGGATAAACAGCTGTTTCTTCTTAAAACGTCCGAAGTAGACCTGACAGGACTCCCACCCTTATACAGCTCGGCGATCAACGCCTGGCAGACACTGAAGGTCTCAAGAACTCCTGACCCTGGGCCAGGGATGTGGGTCTATGAGGAGCCACTTTTTAATAATGACTTCCTTAGGAATGCCCCATTGTCTTCCGCCACTCTGAGGACTAAATTTGTTGAGGCCGGCATGACCAAACTGGGCCACCTGGTGAATAAGTCCATGGACACACTTGGTGATGTCATAAATGTCAGATCCTCAAGACTGGTGAGTAGGATTGTGGAAGAAGTCTGGCAGTCCCTGTCTGGGCCCCTGAGAGACTTTGCCGGGAATCATGCTAACCAATGGACGGATGGCAGCATGTATGCTTTTCCGTCTCTGAGCGTCTGTCCGGCTGCTGGGGAGCGGCAGGAGGAGGATGGTTCACTTCTGACACGGAATACACCGGTGCTGGGCACATTCAGCTCCTGTGGAAAAAAGCAGCTGTATCTCAGCTGTGTGAAGGTGCTGAACCTTCACACGCTGGCTGGAGTGAAGGAGTCAAAATGGGGCGAGGTGTTTAGATCAGACATTACCCCTAAGGGCAGGTGGAGGATCCTGTACAAACCCCCTGTTGAGAAAAGGATGACGGATCTCCAGTGGAGGATGATACATGGATCAATAACCACGAACAGACACAGAGCTCACCTGGATCCAACGGCTTGGGAGGGCTGTCCATTCTGCACTCAAAGTGAAACACTGGAGCACTTAGTGGTGGGTTGTTTTCGGCTAGTTGGTCTTTTTAGAGTTTTAAAGGAATGGGTAGAAGCCCTGGGAGAGTCCTTCTCTGTCACTCTGTTTGTTTTTGGACCCAAATATGTAGTCAGGAGAAAACTGACATTGGTTTTAAAAAAACTTTTTACTTGGCGTAGCTAAACTGGCGATTTTGAAGACGAGGAAGCATCAGATGTTGGGTCGGGGCTGGACGGATGTGGCATATTACACATATTACACACTTACAAATAATCTGGAGATATTCAGGGCTCTGTGGGGGATCGGATGTGTTTTATGTTCACTAGAGGAAGGTGGCTCCCTGTTTCTTAAGTTTTGACCTAATTTTGTTTGTGCGGGTATGTGTGTGTGTAGTTACTCTATTTGAGTTTTGTTAAGATTGTGTATTCCTAATGTGTCATAAATAAAAAACGTTAAAAGTCAATTTCTCTATCTCTCTCTCTCTCTCTCTCTCTCTCTCTCTCACCCTCTCGGTCATTCAACCCCCCCCCTGCTTCTGATTCTGCTCCATTTTATCCCTCCCTGTGTCTCCTAGTGCTGCTCTTGGTGGGAACTGTTGTCCTTTTGTGAAAAATCTCAGCTGCTCTGTTTGGAAAGCTGGGAGATGCTGTTGTTGTTGGGATTTGGAGCTACAGAAATAAAATTTAATTTAATTTTTTTTCAAATACTCAGGTTCTGGGCGATCCTACACAAGTCCCCATCCCGGAGGCAAACATCATTTGTCACCAGCAGAGATCACTTTCCACAGTTACTTGAAATTATGGTAAATACAGAGAGTTAGTGTTTATTGAGTCAAAGTGATAAAACAAACAGCTGACAGTTAAACACTGTTTTCATGCACCACCAAATCTCAAAATAAAACATCTCAGATGTGGATAAAAAAAGAAAATAAAGGCATTTGAATAGGGCCATAAAGTAGGAAACTCAAAATAATGAAACCACCTCCACACTGTTCTGCTTTGTGAGAAATCTGTGGAAGAGAAGTTAGTGGTTGAGTTGATAATCTGGGCTGGGATCCTTTGTGCATTTCTTTCTTTACAGTCTCTGATTGGACCTTATTCGTGTTGGCCATGTTGTTGTTTTGGAGTGGACTTTCCAGCAGTTTCTGAGCAACTTTCTTGTAAGAAAGTTGTAAGAAAGTTGATTGTAAGTCTTTTCAGCACATTTCCTCAGCCTGGGGCTCAGCAAGCACAAGATGGAGCTGCAGCATTTCACAGCTTAATTAACTTTTTGTGGCCACATTTTAAGTTGTGCAAAAGTCCCCGAGTGGCTGTAGAGCCCCCACCAGCCTCCATTGTCAGGGTTTGGGCCCCTCACCACAGCTTCAGCTCTCTGGAAAGGCAGGGGTCAACCTCCCTGAGAGCCTCTATCAGAGTTTTGCTGCTTTTTCATGTCCCTTCCTCATCACAGTATCAATCACATCTGGAGCTTTCTCTGCTCTGGACTTCGTCTTTGCTGTCTGCATCTCCTCATTAATCATAGCACCGTGCTGAAGGAGTTTATCCAGCAGCTGGTTCAGCACAGAATCAGAGACTCCATTAATGAACTGCACCCGGACAGCAGACAGTCTGTCCTTTGCTTGGAGTCCTGGGATATCCCTCTGTGAGGATTCCCGTCTGGGACCTTAAAGGAAAGTAGAGAAATGAACAATCAAATGCTGGTTTCTGCATTAATGTTGGCACAAGGCAGCGATGGCAGCTGGAGCTCCATGACAGCAAAGCTCACCAGAAATGGAGAACAAACAAAGGGTTCACCTTTAAAACTTTGTGGAGTCGGGCTCTGGTTTGGATTGAGAGTCGTTGGAGCACAAAGGCTCTTTTTCTGCTGGATCCTTCATACTCACTGCAAAGTTACACAGGAAAATTCACATTTTATTGTCCTTTTTTAGGAGAAAACATGAAAGATTATGTTTTTGGGACAGAAAATATCCTGCATGAGCATCTTTCCACAAATGTAATGGCAGCTGTAGGTTTCTCTGTCTGGTCTGAGTTCAGTCAGCTTTAAAAAAGACAGGAAAACCTGCAGACTTACAAAGACAGTAACCTCACAGATCAGAATCTTAAGTCAGACAGCTGTTGGCTGATGGTTTAAACGTGTTATCAGGCTGACATGTTTTAGGCCTAAAGACTCTGATCTGACTTTGGGTGGACTAGAGGAGTGACACCAGACAGCTGATCCTGGGAAGTCTGACGCCGAATGGCTTTTCTCCTCAAACACTGTTCAAACACGCAAACACAAGAGTTTGAGGTTTTGATTCTTTGTGTTTTTCCAGAGGTTTAATCACAGTTAAAGAATGCTGGAGTTTGACTGGACTCAGACCTGAACCTGAACAGTTCCATCAAAGCTGAAGCTAAGACAGCTTTTTCCCTCTTCAAACTGCCCGATTAGAGCTTTATCCTGTTTGTGATCCTCTGCCCTCCAGAATCAGAGTCCAGTCCCCACCCATCCTTCTTCCTGCAGGTTGGACTTTTTTGGCAGAAATTCTCCACAGCGTGCCATCTAATGATCCCGACCCCCCCCCCCCCTGTTACTGCTGGCACTAACAGCTTTTGTCTCTGGAGGCTTTCTTCGTCCAGCTATTAAACCTGTAGAGCAAACACAAGCAAACAGAGAGTAGAGAGAAAGAGAGAGATAGATAGAGAGAGAGAGAGAGAGAGAGGCTGTCAGTCACTGTCCCATCATTCCTTCAGGAATAACCAGTTTATCTTCAAAGACGCATCAAAGTTAAGTAGCCCGAGAAGAAGAGTAAAAAACATTCTGTCTGTTTCTATGTTAATGAACAATATAACAGACAAATAGTCTAGTGTTCCAATGTAGTTTCCCAGTGACACATTAGAAGGTCAAAGCAGTTTCCTGTAGCTGTGAGAGTGATCAATCATCAGAATTATTGGTAAAAAACAGATTAAGTTATAGATAAAAGTCATTGTGTCCCCTGTAGGCTTAGATTGGTACTGCATCTGCCTTTTTTTTCAGGTTCATTTGAGTTTTGCACTTGGTTTTATATTTAAAACCCTTGTGGTTGATCTGCATACAGCTTCTTTCTTCCCCCATCCCAGCATTCATTTAAGAGCTGAATAAGATAAACAACTATGATCTAGAACAGTGGAACTGCTCAGGCTTTAAGCTCTGGGGACTCTGGAAGTAAAAAAAACCCCTGTCGCCACAGGATGTTTATGCACACAATAGAAAGAAGCCCTGGTCTCACTAACTTTGTTTTTCATGAATGCAGACAATAAAATCGAGTGGCTGAACCTCTGGTGTACTTCTAATCTTTGGAGGATCCGTTAAAATAACCAGAGGCTTTTTTATCTCTGCATAGTTAAGATTTCTGCTACCTGCAGGCCTGCAGAACACAAAGGGTGTTCAACCTGCAGCTAGAGGCAGGAAAAGAAAGCCCAGCTCCCCGTCTGCTGACCTCACAGTGTCCAGTCCATACTCAGGGCTGTCCACCAGAGCACACAGACTCTCCTCAGCTGGTTTTCCCAGGTTGTTTCCACGCAGGTCCAGTTCCACTAGGTGGGAGGGGTTTGACTTCAGGGCTGAGACCAGAGACCTGCAGCTGATCCCAGACAAGCTGCACCACCGCAGTCTGAGGAGAGCAAAGGACAATCTGGGTCCAATCACATTCAGAGTAAAGCCAGCAAAGACAGATGTTGCACACAGATCTGACGGTGGGTCCAATCACTTTCAGCTGGTCTCTGACAACCAGCAGAGCTCCGATCTGAATAAAGAACAAAAGCTGTGAGTTGAAGACTTTACAATTTAATGTCAGCACAGCTTTCAGCTCATCCTCTGATCTGAACTAACCACTAAAACCTGGAGTCTGACCTCAGAGTCTTCAGTCCACAGAGTGGACTCTGCAGAAAGCTGCTCAGCTCCTTCATCACACACTCAGAGATGGGGTTCAGGCTCAGGTCCAGTTCTGTCAGATGGGAGGGGTTGGACTTCAGAGCTGAGACCATAGAAGAACAGCTGGTCTCTGACAAACTGCAGCCTTCCAGTCTAAGAAAGAACATACAGTATCATGTATATTAACCCTAACCCAAAGTAAATTTCCAACATTTGACGTCAAAGTTATAGAAAAATAATAAAATATAAAAAACAAATAGAAATAAATAGGCTAAGTTAGTTTAAAGTGCCTGTAGTAAAGTCAGAGAAAGTTAGGGTACATCCTGTATCTCAGTCTCCACCTCTACCTCCGTTCTCCAAAAAGTGCCTGTAAAAACCCTGTTTATTGATTATTTCTTTATAACTTATTATTATTTTTACATCTCTCTTATATAATGTATTTGTTTTATTGATGCGTGTGATTATCTCCAGTATTTATTAAGGAGTTATTGTAGGTTTTTGGGACCAATTCTAGGAATTACAGTTTACTCTGAAGGGAACTTGAACTAACATACCAATGTTTTAACATAGAAGTCGGTCCTGGAGTCATGTGACGCACTTGGCGAGTATGGCTGCTTGAGAGTGAACTGCACTTTCCCCCGTGTATATTTTGTGCCCAAAACACAACAAGGAGTCTTGAAATTTGCGCTACAATATTTTGGATAATATTTTTTCGTCGCTACCATGCCAAACGTCACCAGAAACTCTGCTAAACCTGCCGGGCTGGTGCGAACAAGGCGTGCGAAACAGCTAGTGCTAATCAAGCTAGCCAGAAAGCAGAGCCATTGCGTGATGACATTGAGGAGACTGAGGCGGCGGCAGCGAGGCACATTCCCGGTGAGGTGGCTAAGGAGTTACATAAGCTCTCAGCTTTTATAGTGGAGGAGTCTGATGGCCAAGATAAGAAACTGGAGGAAATACGGATTAGCACAAGCGCTACGGAGAGTAAGATAGCTGACATAGCTGATCGGATTGGTGAGGTCGAGAACCGGCTGTGCTTTTTGGAAGATGAGCACGAGAGGCGAAAGGCTAACCCGGCGGCCACTGCTGATGAAGTTGCGCTACTCCAGCAGAAGCTAGACATTGAAAACAGAGAACGAAGGAATAATTTGCGCTTTGTAGGATTTCCTGAGGGCTGTGATGATCATGATGCTGTACATTTTTTGGAAGAAACCATACCAAAGATCTTTAACCTGGATTTCCCAAAGGGACTGGAAAATGAGAGGGCACACAGAATCGGAGCTCTGCCAAAGAGGTACGACGGTGACCAGCCTCCGCGAGCGAGACCGCTTATTGCTAGATTTCTGAGACTTACTTGGCGGTGGCAAGGTGAGCACGGCTTTGATGTGCTTTATGTAGTATTTGGTTTGAATTTTTTAGTTTACATTACATGTACTTTTTCGTCTGTGTTGTGGGTCTGATCTGAAATGACAAACTGATGGTGGCGACTCTTGGTAGACTCTTTGTTGCTGTTTTATTGTGCATTCTGTTCTATATCTATCTTGTGCAGTACCAATTAGTAATAACAACTTGAGCTTTATGAGCTTGAACGTCAAGGGCCTTAACAATGTTGTTAAGAAAAGGAAAGTATTGTCTTTTATAAAATCTAAAAAATGCGATATTGTCTTTGTCCAAGAGACACATCTTTCGCCTCAGGATTCTCAGAGGCTTTGTGGGTGCAGCCAGTGGCAGTAGCAAAAGCAGAGGGGTGGCAACGCTGATTAGAAAACACCTACAGTTTAAATGTCTCAAACAAAGCAAAGATGACGTTGGGAGGATGTTGCTGATGCTGTGTGAAATTCAAGGGAATACTATAATCTTGGCCAATGTATATGCTCCGAATATTGATGATCCAACATTTTTTGGACAAATTGAGAAAAGAATAATTGATATGGGAGACTATCCAGTTATTTTGGGGGGTGATTTTAATGAGGTTATGGACCCACTACTAGGCCGAAGCTCTAAACTGGTACGGGTTTCTAGGGCCCACACTGCTCTTAAGGGGATGTCTGAGGCATGTGCTCTAATAGATGTTTGGCGGTTGCAGAATCCTTCTGGGAGGGAATATACCTTTTTCTCTTCTCCCCACCACTCCTCGAGAATAGATTTTTTTCTGGTGTCTCAATCACTGATGTCGGCTGTTGCATCTAGTACTATTGGCAACATAATTCTCTCAGACCACAGCCCTGTCTACCTCCATATGTTTGCTTTCAATGCTACCATTAGGACCCCTAGATGGAGACTGAACTCCAACTTTCTATTAGATGAAACATTCAAAGAGTTTCTTAGGTCTCAAATTAACCTGTATATAGAAACCAATGTGCTCAGTGCCCCTTCAGCTGGAGTGGCATTTAAGAGGACACATTATTCAGTATGCTTCCTTTAAGAAGAGAGAGAGCCTTTCAAAGCTCCAGGATTTTGAACAACAGATTGCGATCACTGAATTTAGTTTTAAAAGAAACTCCTCTTTTTCAAACCTGAACAAATTGACCAAATTTAAATATGAATTTAATGCAATACGGTCACAAAAAGCTGAATGTTCGTATATCGTGTGAGACGGAAGTATTTTGAAGAGGGGGATAAAGCAGGCAGGCTCCTGGCAAGATATATCAAGCAGAGGGAGGCCCTGAACACTATCTCAGCCATTAAAGATGGTAATGGACACCTCCTTTTTGAGCCCAAGATAATTAATACAGTATTCAGTAACTTCTATATGGACCTGTACAGCCCGGAGTCAAATGCTTCAGAGGAATGCTATAAGAAATTTCATGCTACCTTTAAATCTTCCCAAAGTCCCAGCCGATCAGCTTAAGTATCTGGATTCACCCATTACTATTGAGGAGTTAGTTGGGGTTATTAAACATCTTCCTTCAAGTAAGGCTCCAGGTTTAGACGGCTTTACAGCCGAATATTATAAATCATTTCCTGAAGAATTGGCAACTTTACTCCTAAACACCTATAATGAAGCCTATCAAATGGGCAGGCTTCCACCTTCGCTGTCAGAGGCCATTATTACGCTCATTTTGAAAAAAGGTAAGGACGCTTCTGATTGTAAAAGCTACCGTCTAATAACTTTGACCTCTTATGATGGTAAAATTTTATCTAAAGTTCTGGCCAATCGATTAAATCGAGTTATAACCTCGCTCATTCATGCGGATCAGGTTGGATTTATTCGCTCGCACTCCTCAGCAGATAACATTAGGCGACTGATTGACATCATGTGGGCAGTTCAGGATAGTCAATCTCCTGTGGCTGCTATCTCGTTGGATGCCGAAAAGGCATTCGACAGAGTTGAATGGCGATATTTATTCACAACTCTGGAATGCTTTGGCTTCAGCAAAAGCTTTATTGACTGGATTTGGCTCATATACGTCCACCCCAAGGCTTCGGTACTTACAAATGGTATTATAGGTCCCTCATTTGAACTAGGTTGCGGCACCACGCAGGGGAATCCTCTTTCCCTCCCTTCTCTTCGCCCTTGCCCTTGAACCATTGGCAGTTGCTATATGCAGAGAGCCCACAATTCCAGGTGTAAGCGTAGGGGGTGATTTTCATAAA